AGGTGATCCTTTCAGCAAATCTGCACTAACATTTTTAATATGGTAATGAAATCCCAAACCATCTTCACTGCTGGATTTCCTGTTAAAGATCTGTATGAGCCTTTTTCCAAGACTGAGCTCTATATTATGAGCTTTAGGGACCCTGGCCTTTCTAGCCATTTATTAGAAGAAGGTGAAAATAAAGATCTCTGTGGTTTTGCATTGGGGTGGGTGTTGCAATTCCGTATTGCAAAATACAGCCATGTGTTGTAACTCCATTGCATTATTCAGTGGTAATCCAGAAACAATAAATTAGAGTGCCTTCCCTGTTTCCCAGAAATAAGGTTGGTGTCTCTCTCTGTTCATAAGCTAACCCCAGTTGTCCCTAGAATTGATACATTCACTTGACCTGTGAATTACTTGACCTGTAATTCTTATCAGAGCAAAGCAAGGGTTCCATTTATTCATTGCCTGATTCTATACCCTATAAAGTTGACTGTAGTGAGCATGGGATGAATCCTTTAATTCTTAAAGAACCCTTTATTCTTTCATTGTTGCAGCACAAATACTTCTAATATCTGTCATTTTACAGTACCATTGTGAGCTTTAAAGCCTAAGAAACGATGGGTTCCAAAGTCTAGCATGATACTGTGTTGTGAAGTCCATTTTCCAGTCTTTAATCAGAACCACTTGTCTCTTTCTGCCTTGTGGGTAATGATTACAACTGAGCCTAGCAATTTTTGATAGGATATTGTAATGTTTCACAGATCCTCTGGTGGTAGTTTCCAATGTTGGCAATTAACAATATTAAACATTAGGCAAGGAGCAAATAATTGGGCACTTAATGGCTTAATTATAAACCTCTTTTGATCAGTTTTCATTGCTACCTACAGTCAACTCTTCGTACCATTTGCTAGTGTGTGACAGTCCTTAAGGTTCCTCATATGTACACCTCCCCCCCCCATGTTTTTTGGTGATTATCATTCTTGGGACTGTGTGAGATTAACTTCGAATAGAAGCTGTGCTTTGAGTACTAGTTTCATCTGTTCTCTTTCAATATCCAGCATTTAATAGGTTCTTGTACTGCATCCAATTCTGTAATCCAAAAAGGGGCCAGGCAAGAGAGTTCTGCAAATGTTGGCAAATTTGAAAGTCTTTACCCTTTTACATTTTGTAATTTTCCAGCTGTTCTTTTCTGAATTTCCCATTGGAAATATGTTCTAAATTGGATTTCTATTTTGGAAATGGAAACATTTCAAAAACAGAATACTCAACATTGTTGGGACTGAGATGATGATCAAAAGCTACTCAGCACCAATACAAAAGATGGGAAAATGGACACCACAACCATGTATGTTTCTTTGTTTTGCAGGAAAAAAAGACTTAAATATTATATATAAAGTTTCCATTTAAAAAATACACCTTCATAAGGAAGTCCGTAAAAATGCATACAGGAAAAAATCAGTGTTTGAAATAAGATCAGATTTCTGTGAAATGTCTTCATTTGAAAACTCCATTTTACCCTTTCTTTAAGCTTAAAGTTTATTATCGCATGTTTATCAAGCATATGCCATATGTAGTGGCAGTATATGATAAATTAGGCATCTGACTGTGAACAATGCAGTTCATCTTTTATTAACTAGAAACATGTACCTAATGAAAAGTTGTATGTTTAAAGGTTTAATACAACAGTTTTGAAAATCCTTGAGAGAGGGATCAGTTTGCTCTGTGAATTATTTCTAGCATATTCCTGTGTATATTCTGCATGAAAGAAAAAGTAAGCCAATACCAGTGTAAGGTTAAATATTTGCAGAATAGTAGAGTGTAGGGGAGTCAGTACCCACTTTACTCTTACACAGGTTTCTCCACAGCTTCTATAAAATTGTATGAGACTGAAGTCATGACTGACCTGTTAGGGTTCACAGCATGCCCCCAAACCACAAAGTACCTAGGCTCTGATATGCCTCCCTCTTTTAAAAAAAAAAAAAAAAAAAAAAAAGGCGTGTGCTAAAATCTCATTGACTGCATGGGTTTACATTCTGTGCTGAACATGGACAGGCTAGTACATGGTTAAGATCTCTGCTGAATGTAAGCCAGTGAATAGTCCCACTGAAGTGACCTAAAAGTCAAGAGGATGACTCATGTTCTCAACTCTGGGTTTGAAATCAGGGTCAGAGAGCTCAATATCTTGCAGGGTCACCTTAATGCATAACTATTTTTTCTAATTGCTCTAGATTTTAGAGTAAACTAAGGATCTGATTCACAATGCACTTGCACATTTAAACAAGTTAACAGTCCAGTTGCCTTCTGTGCTATTGAATTCAAAAGGGCAACCCATGCTTAAATTGAAAAATATGTTTTGCTGTGCTGAAGGCTAACTTAGTTACATATTAACATAGAAGCAAAATGCAGGACAATGTAGCACTTTAAAGACTAACAAGGTGGTTTATTAGATGATGAGCTTTCGTGGGCCGGACCCACTTCCTCAGATCAAATAATGGAAGAAAACAGTCACAACCATATATACCAAAGGATACAATTTAAAAAAAATGAACACACATGAAAAGGACAAATCACATTACAGAACAGAAGGGGGATGTGGGTGGGGGGGAGTGAAGGGCACCGGCAGGCCGGGGGTGGCCCTATTAGAGGTGATAATTGGGGAAGCTATCTTTGTAATGTGTAAGATATTATTTGGTCTGAGGAAGTGGGTCTGGCCCACGAAAGCTCATCATCTAATAAACCACCTTGTTAGTCTTTAAAGTGCTACATTGTCCTGCATTTTGCTTCAGCTACCCCAGACTAACACGGCTACATCTCTACCACTATATTAACATAGACAAATCAGAGCACTTCTAAGTGGTTTGAGCTGCTTTTTTTGAAGTAACCTGAGGTAACCTGTTTACTCCAAAGGAGTTTCTGTGTGTAGTTTTTTCATTTCATAAATGAGAAGTCAGAGAATATTTCTAAAGCATGCTGATATCTTAATGTTTTTAAAATTGTTCCACAGACAGTGAGAAACTAACTGGTTTCTGAATGTAGATTCTGTATATCCGTTTCATTTGTTATCATTGAATATAGCTTTTATGCTGGCAAATAATTTTCACTAGATATGGTCAATAGGTCCAAGATTCCAAGCTCTGAAGTGGATCTAAACTTTCCAAAAGAAGGGGTGCTGGGATAGTAGAGATAACAAGATGTAAAAAACTCAAATGGGACCTTGCTAAAGCCAGGCTGCTGAAGTGTTGGGTTTTTTTCTGACCTCACTTCCCCTTTGTCTTCTAGATCCCCTTCTAACACACCATTCACCTCCTACTCCCAAGCCGCAAAAATCAATGTTAATTCATTGTTTGATTGCTCCAATTTAAAGCCACAGAAATCAGGAATTTCAGGAGCTATGGCTTCTATCACAGCCATGCATGTTCAGCCACAATGCACATCAGTAAATTATTCCTGTTCCTGGCTCTGGTTGTGGGTTTGTTTTTGTTAAAGGTATACAACATTTTCAAGTCGATAAATCCTCTAGAAGCCTTACCAAACAAACAGAATTTTTATTTTTTCATATCGCATGCTTTTACAGATTCCAAGGCCAGAAGGGATCTTTGTGATCCTCTATTCTGACTTCCTGTATTCTGACTTCCTGTACAACACAGACGGTAGAATTTGCTCAAGATTGATGTTGGGCTGACAAGCCTGTAACTACTTGGGTCATTCTGCTTATTCTTTTAAAAATTGGCACAATGTTAGCTTTCTTCCCATCTTCTGGAACTTCCCTGGTGTGCCAAGTCTAACGAAAATCAACATGAATGGTCCATCCAACTTCTCATGCAGCTCTTTTAAAATTCTTGGACATGAATTTTCGAGACCAACTGATTTAAAACTCTGTCTGTTCTATTAAGAACACTTCCATAGCTGCTCATAGTTATGTTGAATATTAACCATATTTTGTTGGGTCAGAAATATTTCCCTGGAGTATTTTGCACTCAGTCACTGTAGAAATCTTAGTGCATTAGAACCAGAAAGTGAAATAGACTAATTGTCCATAATGAAGAAATGGGGATGGAGGGAGGGAACAATAAATGTGATTAGATTTATCAAATGTTTTATTTTAATAATCTGCAGTATTAGTAACCGATAAAGATTTCTTTAAATCTTGTGATGTCCTCTTGAAGTTCACCTCTCCACCTGCTTTTCTTCTCTCGCCAACCAAAGCTGAAAAGAGTTAATTTCTCATTCACATTTATTAATACCAGCACACATGGCCAATGCTGCTGTTAGAGAAACGGTTGGGGCTCTGAGGAACAAAGGTAGTTTAGGCATCTAGATGTTATGGGAGCATGAATATCTGCATAAAGAAGGAGTTTATTTGTACAGTGTCTAGCACATTGTTCCCTGTGCTGTGACCAACACTGTCCCATTTCAGTGGAATATCAAATATTGTCTTCTATGCCAGTCAAGCTTCAGTGGTAACTTTGCAGCTGTGTGTACGTGTGCATGTGATTACAAGGCAACTGACCACAAAGTGTTTCTCGGTTCTTATTAGCTTCATCTATCGGCTGTAAAACTGGCAGAGCTACATAGTGACCTCAAAATACAAGAAAAGGATGAGCTGAGCTGGAAAAAGCTGAAGGCTGAAGGGCTAGATGAAGATGGAGAAAAAGAAGCCAAACTTAGACGCAATTTAAATGGTAAGAAATAACTTGGTTGAAGATAAGAACATAACAAGAACAGCCATACTGGGTCACACCAAAGACCCCTGTATCCCAGTATCTTGTCTGCCGACAGTGGCCGATACCAGATGCCCCAGAAGGAGTGAACACACCAGGTAATCCTCAAGTGATCCCTCTCCTGTCATCCATTTCCAGACAGATTTTAGAGGTTTAGGGACACTATTCCTACCCATCCTGGCTAATAGCTGTTGATGGACCCTAACCTCCATGAATTTATTTAGCTCTTTTTTTGAACCCTGTTAAACACCTAAAGGGCTCGTCTACACTGGCCCCTTTTCCGGAAGGGGCATGTAAATTTCACCAGTCGTCGTAGGGAAATCCGCGGGGGATTTAAATATCCCCCGCGGCATTTAAATAAAAATGTCCGCCGCTTTTTTCCGGCTTTTAAAAAAGCCGGAAAAGAGCGTCTACACTGGCCCCGATCCTCCGGAAAAAGTGCCCTTTTCCGGAGGGTTTTATTCCTTTATTCAAAGTAGGAATAAGACTTGGGATTTTTCCCAACAAGAAGATGGGCTTAAGTGGAAAATTGGGTACCTTGTACACCAAATGGATAGTGAGGGAAAAGTGGCTCTTTCTGCTATAGTTCCCCCATTCACCTGCTATACATTTAAATTATACTTGCCTTGCACATTAAGAGCTAGACTCTTGATTCACTGGGTATCCTGAATCATGGGGCCTCCAAAACTGTTCTACAGTTCCACACCAGTTGTGGTTCTCTATCATATCCTCCCTTAGTCTCCTCTTTTCTAAGATTAAAAAGACTTGGACTCTTCAGCTTTCTTCATATGGGACCCGTTCCAAACCCCTAATCGGTTTTTTTTTTAAAGCCCTTTTCTGAACCTTTTTCAATGCCAATATATCTTTTTTGAGACGAGGTGACAACATCTATATGTGTTATTCAAAATATGGGCATACCAGGGTTTTATATAGAGGCAATAAGATATTCTCTCTTATTCTCTATCCCTTTTTAAATGATTCCTAACATTCTGTTTGCTTTTTTGACTGCTGCTTCACACTGAGTGGATATTTTCGGAGAACTATCCACAATGACTCCAAGATCTCTTTCTCTCTCGTAGTTGTAGCTAAATTAGTCCCCATCATATTGAATGTATAGTTGGGATTATTTTTTTCCAATGTGCATTACTTTACATCTATCGACATTAAATGTAATTTGCCATTTTGTTGCCCAATCACTTAGTTTGGTGAGATCTTTTTGAAGCTCTTCACAATCTGCTTTGGTCTTAACTATCTTGTGCCAGAATTTTCACTCAGGGTATGTCTACACTATTTCCATTTATGTGGTTGGTTTACATATTATTAAACCACCCATCTGATCTATAATGGCAGCCCTGCTGACACCGTCTGACCCAGTTTGACAATCTGGATAGAAATTGTAGGGTTGGCTGTTCAATGTCTGTGACTTTAACAGCATTGCTTTGGGCCTGGAATCAATTCTCTCTGTTTACAGACCATTTCACAGCCCTTTACCTGCAACATCACTTGTGTCAGTCCCATAAATACTTTGGTATATATAATGCTTGAATTAGCATAATGGTTTAGGTACAGAGCTTTAAGCACAAAGAAGGACATGTCAACATGTTCTCTTCACTTAAGCAATTAAGAGGCATTATGCTGCTTCAGTGGAAATATCATCAAGGTTAAAGACAATCCCAAACACCCCTCTAACCTTTTTATTCTAAGTCTAATAAATGAGGCATAGAAATTGAAATGTTAGTAAACAGTGCTACTTGCAAGCTCTTTTGTATCATGTTCAATCAGACCTCTCATTCCCCTCTTGCAAAGTGTAAGGAAATGTGAATGTTAACCATAGTCATGGTCACCTATTTAAAGGGTTAGGATTATTTCGTTTATTGCAAAAACTGACCTTGCTGCAAGGATTTTTTTTATTTTGTTATTTTTTATTTTTTGCATCCATTGATAGGTTCTCAATGTTTTGACACAGCCTTGAGAATACTTGTGAATTTCTAATATACATACCTATAGAATACACGCACAGATACACACAATCAAATTCTTGCCAGGATCCCTTCTCTGGCGTGTATTATGTGGGCATCAACAGATTTGGAGGCCATCCCTTGATGCCTTAAATTTTTCTCTACATTTAGCTAGAGAAAGTGACACATTCTGTATTTGTTATTGCAATCGCTGCACTTTTATTTCCACTGACATGATTCAGACAGACTGTGGGTTAAATTCTATCCCTGGAGTTATTCTGACAAAATTGCACTAGGGTTGGTTTTAGCCCTCCTGATTGTTATGGCTTTGTTTTTTACTTGGTTGCTATATTTTTTAATTCCATGTCTCTTGATACCTAAGGATTTTCAAATGCATTGGGACAAACGAGGGGAAATGTGAGTCGTTGAATATTGACAATTTTGATGGGCTAATCTCATAAAAATACACAGAGAGCAAGGAATCTGCAACCCTGCTGAGAGGAGATAACACATACACAGTGGCAGAGAGCCAGTTTCACAGTCTGATGCCATCACTGTGCCATCAGGATAGCAGAAAGCAACCAGTTCAAATGAAGCAGTCCCTAAAACCATGGCAATTTTAGCACAATGGCCTTTCCCTTAAAAGTGACCCATTGGTAGACATGAAGAATGAAATGTATTTCACGCATTCCTATAGCAACTATTGCTAGGGGTATCTGCCATCATGTAGTGCTATTCTGAGCTTATTCCTATGTGAATTGTCCATAAGACCGGTTCAACCCAGTTCAAACTTCTTCACCCTAGACGGGACCACCGCAAAAGCAGACAGGACAACCCAGTATCCAGAGCCAGACAATCAATGGCAGATACTGACAATGTGTTGGTCGACTAGTTCTGACTTTCGTGGAGGTTTGGTCTGCTGGAAAGTGGGTAAGACCACCAATACCCTTCACACAGTAACAAAGATGGGTCACTACCAACCTCATTCCCTGGTCTCCCACCACATTATGTAATTCATTCCCTTTGAAGTCAGTGGAAGTCGGAAGCCAATGGGAGTTGCTTGCCTCCTGTAATGGGAGAATAGTGCCCCATCGAGTCAGATGCCTGCATTTATTTTTGTCAGGAGGCAGTAAGCACACAAATGTCATATTGAAGCCAGGATTGGGCACAGTTTCTACAGTGGGATGAGATTCCTAGCCTCAGAAAAAGCACAGAACAAAATAAAACAGCATTTTAATTTCATTGACAACTTGCTTTTTATTCTGTTAATGATTTTCTTTCATAGAATACTAGGACTGGAAGGGACCTCGAGAGATCGAGTCCAGTCCCCTGCCCCCATGGCAGGACCAAATATTGTCTAGACCATCCCTGATAGACATTTATCTAACATACTCTAAATATCTCCAGAGATGGAGATTCTACAACCTCCCTGGGCAATTTATTCCAGTGTTTAACTACCCTGGCAGTTAGGAACTTTTTCCTAATGCCCAACCTAAACCTCCCTTGCTGCAGTGTAAGCCCATTGCTTCTTGTTCTATCCTCAGAGGCCAAGATGAACAAGTTTTCTCCCTCCTCCTTATGATACCCTTTTAGATACCTAAAAACAGCTATCAAGTCCCCCCTCAGTCTTCTCTTTTTTTCTAAACTAAACAAATCCAATTCTTTCAGCCTTCCTTCATAGGTCATGTTCTCTAGACCTTTAATCATTCTTGTTGCTCTTCTTTGGATCCTCTCCAATTTCTCCACATCTTTCTTGAAATGAGGTGTCCAGAACTGGACACAATACTCCAACTGAGGCCTAATCAGCGCAGAATAGAACGGAAGAATGACGTCTCATGTCTTGCTCATGACACACCCTTTAATGCATCCTAGAATCATTGTGTGTGCGGGGGAGGGGGCTTTTTTTTTTTTTTGGTAACAGCATCAAACTGCTGACTCATATTCAGCTTGTGGTCCACTATAACCCCTAGATGCCTTTCTGCTGTACTCCTTCCTAGACAGTCGCTTCCCATTCTGTATGTGTGAAGCTGATTGTTCCTTCCTAAGTGGAGCACTTTACATTTGTCTTTATTAAACTTCATCCTGTTTGGGTGGTTTTTTTTATTATTTTTTTAAATACTTTTTCAAAAATAAAAGCTCTCTTGACTTCTGAAATTGACCTATATAGCTATAATATTCTGTATAAAATCTTCATCTCAATTTTGGCACCTGCAAAAATTCAAGCTAGTATCTGAAAATACAGCACTGTGACTCTTTCGAGGTTACTTGGAGAGTCAGTTGTGGCTCATTAATTAGACCCAAAGTCTTCTATTTCTCAGTTCTGTTACTAAACTCTTCCTCCTCAAACTGCTATCCCTCAGGCTGTACTGGAGAGCGTGCTGCTCTGTGCCCATTCCCTTAAGAAGTTTGTAGTGGTGACTTGGAAAATTTTAGTTTGAATTTGTGGAGGAGCACAGTTTGCTCATGTGAAGGTTTAAAGACACAGGACCAGGGTTGGGAGGCCTGACCTTACAACTGACTTGTTGTACAAAGTCAGACTCTGTCCCTATTTTGCAAAAGGGGAACTGTGCCATAGTTAATCCCATTTAACAGTGTGTTGAGCATTGAGAAATATTGGATGACTCTTTCAGGGCCTTTGTGGGTGGCATAATGCTGCTAGCATCAGTATTATTCACATGTCATATCCTGCCCCTAAATCAGCCTCCATTTCACAAGGCTATTTTTTTAACAGTAATCTAAAACTTTATAGTCAGAGTGGTTTGAGGTCAAATAAACTATTTTAGCTATTTTTTCTGGATGCACAATAGCTGTCACTTAAGAATAGTTGGAATGAGCTCTTCATAGCGATGGAGTGTTCCCTGTAGTCATCTGAACAAACTTTAAATTTAGAAATCGGAAAGCCTCGGTGGTGTCCCTTTGTCACCATTTTGATGCCATTGCAAATGCCTGACAAATTGATCAGCAAAGAATGACATTGAACAGGATGTTTATAAGAACGTTAAGTTTCTCTTAGCTGTCTTGAAATCCTATGGTTTATAGTTGGTCATCAGTTGCAAACTGAACATACATATATACATTCATTTACAATGAAGGAAAAATATTAATATCTTACTATTGCTATTAACGTCAATACTTGCCACCAGTTACGATATGGTTAGTAGTTATTTCCTGTTCTAATTTCGCTATGGGAGGTCTGTGGCAGACTACTTATCCATGCTATATCTTCTTTTTTTCCTTTATAACTGGGGCACGCTGGGGAGTAAATTTCTGTATCCCATTTCAGTTTGTGCTGAATAAAAGTGACTTTGCAACTTTAAAGCACTGTGTGAAACTGACATTTGTATGGACAAAATGGGATTGGTATTTTGTAGACCGTTCAGAGGACAATCGCTGCATCTTGGTGCTGGTTTGTTTGTTTGTTTTAAAATGTGTAAACTCATTAGAAAATAAAAGATGAAAGAAAGTGGAGCTGTTTGAACCATGCTTAGTGTTTGATCTGGTCTATATGGTATTTTGTTTTTGTTTCCTTTCTTCAGGAAGGGGATAGGGTTGATGGCCCTCATGGTAGATGTGTGTCTTAAGGAGAGGGCAGAGATGTAATGCCATGCTCTTGGGCAGAGGGCTGACAGCCTTGTCAGGTTTCTTTGCTAGGTGTGTATGGGTGGGGCGGAGTGGCTCTGCGCTCCCAGAAGGTGCAAGGCTTCGGGCAGATGGAGCAGGACTGGGGGCAGTCAGCCCTCAGCATCATCTGGAGCCCGCTGCGCATCCTCCCCTCCCCAGCCAACAGTTAGTGCTGCCCAGTTGTGTGTTGCTCCAGTGGCATTTAAGGGGCCTGGATCTCCAGCTGACGCTGCTGCCTCAGCAGCAGTAGGTGGGAGCCCCAGGCCCTTTCAAATTCCCAGGCCCTGGGGCAACTTTCTTCTTTGCCCCCTCCTTCCTCTGTAGGCAGGCCTACTCTTGAGTAGATCATCAGCAAGAGGGCCAAACCATGAGCCACTGCTACCTGAGTGAAAAGTTAGCCGAAGCTGTAGCTGGCTCATCAACCTCTATATGTGACCCTACTACCACTAGCGGAAGACAGCGCATGGGTGGGCATGGATTCCACAGACTCTCAGGAAAGGTGCTTTGTTTTGTTTTATTTTTTAAAGGAGGAACCATCTTCTAATGGTTCTAAAAAGTTTCTTGTTTTTCACTTACAGTAATCATGACTAAATACGGAATGAATGGAAAGAAAGATTCCCAGCTAGCAGATACTAATTACATCAAAGATGGCACAGAAAGTGATGTGCTAGATGATCCAAGACTGGAGAAATTATGGAGCAAGGTGTGTTGCTTAACTTTTCTAGAAAGCCCTTACTTGGACTGAGAATCTTTAGAACTCTGTTTCCAAACACTGGGCCAGGTACTATGACCTCTTCTACCAGAAACACTGGGTGTGAAGGGCACGTCTTTTCTCAGGGGATCTGGTCCGTTAGAGCTGTTCCAGCCACTATATGTATTAGGGATGTTAGTGTGCACCTGTTTTCACGATTAACCGATAAGCCTGGCCTCATCAGTTCATCCTAATGGTTACATGTGCACACATACCCCTTGCTGCCACAGAGGCAGCAGAATGGGGGGGAGAGGCGGGAGGTAGTATACGTGGAGAGCTTGCTTGTAAGCTGTGTCTCCATACATGTTGGCTCCCATGGAGCCAGCTTGCTCCCCCCCCCCCCCCCCCCCCCGTCTCCCACAGCAGCAACAGTGTGAGCGGGCAGGCAGGCATGAGCTAGTGCTCAGGAGGAGCCGCCCCATGTTGCTGATAGAGAGGTAGCAACGTGTGAGGGCAAGTGGGTGCCAGTACGTGCAGAAAGCCAACTTTCAAGCTGGCTCCCTGCACATTCTGTCTCCCACAGAATTGGCTCTCCCTTCACCTCCCTCCCCGCACTTCTGCCTCTATCAGAGGCATCGTGGGGGGAGGGGAGGAAGGGGGTGCAGGCAGGAGCCAGTGCTTGCGGGGAGCCATATTAAAAGCCAGGTCTCCCTGAGCACTGGCTCCCACCTGCCCCCGATATGTAAACATATAACCACTGTTTACAGTGAAAAAATTAGTGTTTATAAAAATATAAGTTTTTAAGTGTCCCTAATATATAGGTGAAATCTTGATCACAGTTAGGCCAATCAGAGTTTTTTGCTAATGACTTTACAGGGAGAAGGATTTCACTCTGTATAAACATTAAGGGATACAGCTTTGTATCTTGGCTTTTGTTTTCTTTAAATGGCTAAACTAAATTTAGAAATATTTCATAGAATTATTTTTAGAACAAGTTAAACTTAAAACCCCGCCTTGTAGTGTTTGTAAGTGAAACCTTCCAGAATTTGTGTTAGTGTCTGAAAACAAGAGTTGCTCCAGTCTAGGCAGTTGTATCAGACTGGCAGAACCTGCGAAAAGGAAATAATTAGTAAAAAGAACCATTTTTAGAATTCTTCACTTTATCATTCTAAGGTAGTGTAAGGAAAAGGAAGTTTGTGTTTGTGTTTTTTAAATAAAATCAAATTCAACCTACCAGTGTTCTTCTTTGAGAAATGGCAGAACAAAGAGATCACTTGGGAGTATTCCCCAACAAAATTTGAGCTGCTGGCTCTACAAATATCAAAAGATTTCACTTTTAACCTGTGGGAAGAAAAAACAGAGCTAAATCCATCCCTCTACCTGGGAAGCACATTGAGTTCATCTCTCATTGCAAATAGCTAGTACAATCAGAAACAGCTTGGAGCAGAGCAGGGGCATGACACAAAATATGGTATTTACTTGCCAACAGAATGAGAGCTCTTTGAATAAAGGTTCTCCTTATGTATCCATCTCAATCCCTAGGGTAAGAAAAACACTATATATTCAAGCATGCAGTTCATGTCTCCAACATCAATAACTGATAGCTTCCTAAAGAACATGTGTGACAGGGATTAGGCTCCACAATAATAAAAATAATAATTTTCATTATGTCTCTGGATATTTGGTAGGTAAGATTCTGGTCCCATTGAAGATAATGGTAAAGCTCCCATAGAATGCATGGAGACCAGGATTACATTCCATGTGTAAGTTCTGCCTTAATACCAGCACAGTGAAGCATCACTTGCCCTTGGAAATGAAAAAGGATTATAGCTTCTGTCTGTCTCATTCATAAGAATGGCCATACTGGGTCAGACTAAAGGTCCATCTAGCCCAGTATCTTGTCTTCCAGCAGTGGCCTATACCAGGTTCCACAGAAGGAATGAACAGAATAGATAATCATCAGGTGATCCCTGTCACTCATTCCTAACTTCTGGTAAAGATAGGGATACACAAACTCTTAAACAACAATTAGTCTGGTTTTTTTAAGTTTATCCTGTACAAACTAACTTGGCTACCCCCTGAAGCTAGGGATACCATGTCTGCCCATTCTGGCTAATAGCCATTGATGGACCTATCCTCCATGAGAGGGTAGAGGTTCAAGAGCCAGGGCAGGGGGTGAGAGGGAGGTATAGGGAGGGCTCAGGGCAGGGGTGGTGGGACTGGAGCTGCCTTGGCTAGCCCCAGAGATGGGGAACCAGGGGGGCCCCACCAGCAGTGTTCCTTGGGGGGAGTGGGACTGTAGGGTCCCTGGAAGTACAGTTCTGGAGGGGTTGCTGGTTGGCAGGGGTGCTGGCTGGTGGCCCTCCACCCCCATCTGGCACTGAGGGGGAGGGGTTTGGACAGGGGAGTCACCCACCTGGGCCGGTGGCTAGCGACATGAAAAGCCCTGGTCCTAGCTGGCCACTCTCTTCCTGGTGCGGGCGGTCACTCTGCAGTATAACCGACCCTCCTATCAGTCCCTCCCTTTCTGTTTTATGGAAAACAATCCAATTCCAGGCACATACCATTGTCCTGGTACAACCCAACCCTGACCTTGCTTTAAGATAGGATAAGAGGAAGCTGAATACCACATTTGGTGGTGCTAACTCTTCCAGTTTGAGGATTTCTTGAACAAACAGACGCGGTCACTCTGCAGTATAACCGACCCTCCTATCAGTCCCTCCCTTTCTGTTTTATGGAAAACAATCCAATTCCAGGCACATACCATTGTCCTGGTACAACCCAACCCTGACCTTGCTTTAAGATAGGATAAGAGGAAGCTGAATACCACATTTGGTGGTGCTAACTCTTCCAGTTTGAGGATTTCTTGAACAAACAGACTCAGACAGATGCACAAACTCTAAAATATATATAGAAAGAGAAAATAAGATATTCTCTGTCATCTTATATGTCCCTTTCTTCATGAGCTTGCTTTTTTCACTGCCACTAAAGATTGAGGGGATATTTTCAGAGAACTATACACAGTGACCCCAAGATCCCTTTCTTTAGTGATTAAAAGCTAATTCAGACTCCCTCATTTTATATGTATATCTGGGATTATGTTTTCCATTCATATTTCTTTCAGGCCAAGACTTCTGGGAAGTTTTCTGATCAGGAGCTGGATAAGCTGTGGCGGGAATTTAAGCATCACAAAGAAAAGATTCATGAATATAATATTCTGCTAGAGACTGTGAGCAGAACAGAAGGTGTCTGGATATTTGTCTGATGTTCCCAGAGCAGTGCAGCCCTCTCTCTGCCAATTACTAAGTTGTTTTTAAAGCATCTTTAAAATCTTAAAGATGGATTCTTAGGTTTACATTAGCATTACTTTGCGTATGCTGCCATTTACAGATACTTACAAGGCACAAATCTGTGTCCTCTGCCAAGAATCTATATAACTAATGGAACAATTACTGGTCTTGTCTTTTATAATGCCTGCTTGTGTTTCAGTGAGCAAGGAGATTGTCCACTGAGCAAAATAAACTCATGGCTTTCAGAAAAATATCAGCCAGTACCTAGTCCCTGTTCTAGCATTTGGGCCCTGATTTAATGGAATATAGTTCCTTAGAGGCACCTAGTAAGCAGGGAGGGAGGGGGGAAATCAGACCCTTGGGCTTCTATCTGAGGGGGAAGGTTGGAGTTAAGACTAGAGCAATGAGGAGTCAGATTGCACAGACCTTACCTGGGAGCAGGGCCCAAATGGATGGGAGCTAAGGTAGCTTTATGCCACTTGTGTGTTATGGGCAGCTAAGACTACTAGAGGTCAGTCTGCTGCTTGGCACAGGATAGGACACCACCTGAGGCTGCTCTAACTTAGGACTGGCTGCTAACAGCCCCTCTGGGCCATTGCGGAGGTCCTTTTTAGCAAGGGCACAGGACCGTTCTGCCCTTGTTCCTGTTCCCTGGAGTAATGCTGTGGCACTGCTGAAGGGATTTTTCAGGAAATGGGGTAATATAATTCTGGATCTTGTTGAAATTGCTGACCTAATTGATGTTTTCTAGATAGAATATTTTTACATCTCTTCTGTCCAAAGTGTGCACACATTGAAAAGTAAACACTCTTAAAAATCAGTGCTATTAAAGTGCATTGTTAGTGATAATTTACAAAGGGATCAAGTGCTGATAAGAACTGAGCATCGACTGCTCCCATCCAACTTGCTGGGACTTTCAAATATTTCTGTCCTTGGGATATGGCCTCTTATGAATTTTTTTTTTTTTTCATAACAGAAATCCATAAAAATCTGATCAACCCCCATGAGGAGAACGGGCTCAAAGAGGAAATCTTGTATGGCAAACACACAGAACTGAAAGACAAAATGCGAAGCATCAATCAGGGATTTGATCGCTTGCGTAAAATCAGCCACCAGGGATACGACACAGCCAGCGGTATGATTCACCCTGTTTCACATTCATTTATAATCTGTTTTATGAGAAGTCAGAAGGCAAATAACCCATTTAATCCAAATGAGCCTTGTACAAAGTACTGACTAACAGACTTGAGCCATTTAAAGGGCCTACTCTGTTTATTTACTGATTTTAGGGAACAAGTGCCCTGTGTGTCGCCTACAGAGGCCACTCCTATAGGACAGGAAATAGATTCTCATGATGCTTCCTATACTTGTGGCTTTTGGTGGAATGGGGAAATGGGACATGTCATTGTCCCTGAAAATGATCAGGAGGTTTAGCTCTGATAGGCTGAGATCTGGGGAGGCACAGAGCCAACTCTGCAGAGACTCTGTGGGTAGTCGTTCCTTACTAGCTACTCATAGCCTTTCTGCAGCATGGTTCCTGTGAATATTATGCTGCTAGAGCTGCCCCGGTGGCAGCTGTCCCAGGAACTTCCCCTTGAAGGAAGGAAGTTTCTTTGATATTGGGAGCACCGACTCTGGCCCCTTTAGGCATTCTTACAATACAAAATGTAAATCTTATAATCAGAGGAAATAGCCAGTATGTTAATGCTGATCCTGTCAGCACTAAACTTACCAGCAAGAGTTCCACAAGAATTTTCTGAGAGACGGCCACAAGATGTAGGTAAACTCCACACCATCCCCATCTCTAGATCCCTGTGGAGGGCTAAACTCCTGTCTTCTAAGCCCATGCAACAGAAACCAGCTGGGATTTTATTTTTTTACCATAAAGGCAGAGGGTAACAGAGACCTTACTCAAGGTGTGGCCCCCTTTGGGAGTGTGTGTGGGGGGGGGTGAGGGGGGGAGGATTTTTTTTTAAAGGTCTCATATCCACTATGCTAAACATCTAATGAAAATGTTAGGATTTGGACTCAGTAATGCAGTGCCATTGGGTGCACATTTCTCATGTAGAGCCATGGAGGGGTGGTGTTAATTAGTCTTGTCAATGTGATCTCAAAAATGAACAACTTAAAATAATTGTGTGTGTATTGATTTAGAGTTTGAAGAACCCAGAGTGATTGATTTATGGGACATGGCCAAATCAGCCAACTTTACTGAGAAGGAACTTGAATCATTTCGGGTAAGATAGAATTTAGATAAGGGTTTTCTCTTCAACATTAAGAAACACTGTGTACGCTATATTCAGGGTATAATGATGCACCCTTCTCCCCCTTCTGTCGTTCTTCACTCAAGAGACAAAATTGGGACCCAGTTTGCAAACAGCAAAATAGGGATGTTAAATATTGGCTAATTGAATAGTCAGTCAGCCTCATGAATTCTTATCGGTTACTCGACTATCCTATAGTCCCCAGAGGCAGGGGCCGCAGCCCGGGCCCCCCCGCCCCCCCCCGAGTCCCCTGCCACTCCGTGCTGCTGCCTCTGTAACCGAGGCAGCAGCGTGGGGTGCCAGATGGGATGTGGTCCATGAGGGAAGCCAGTTTAAAACCAGGTCCCCTCGCAGACCAGCTGCTTGTCATCCCATGCTGCTGCCTTGGATACAGAGGCAGCAAGGAATAATGGCAGCAACCCATATCCAGGGGGCGCATGCTGCGCTCCTGGACCCGGCGCGAGCTGGAACTGAGTCAGGCTGCCTGCCCACCTGGCTCCTAATATATTTCAAATGCAGAACTGCAGCAGAGTTAAGTCCCAGACCCGGCATGAGCCAGGACTAAGCCAGGCTGCTGCCCAGCCTACTAAAAAATTTACTGGCAGTGTGGCAGAGGGAACGCACGTAGTCTATAGCATTAACCTATAAGTTTTTACTTATTGGTTAATTGACTACACTATTACATCCCTACATCTAAACATGTGTAACTTTTTACTGATGTGAGTATTCCATGGTGTGTAGTGGAATTATAGCTGAGTAAAATTACATGTCTGCTTAACTGGAGGTGTGCATAACGTAGTGAATACAAGCAGAGAGAGGGTAAGTTTAGAAGATAGGATACACAAAGAACAAGTTAAAAATCACTTAGGAAAGTTAGATGTCAGCAAGTCACCAGGTCCTGATGAAATGCATCCCAGGATACTCAAGGAGCTGATAGAGGAGGTATCTGAGCCTTTAGCTATGATATTTGAAAAATCATGGCAGACAGGGGAGATTCCAGAAGACTGGAAAAGGGCAAATATTGTGCCCATCTATAAAAAGGGGAATAAGAACAACACAGGAAACTACAGACCAGTCAGTTTAACGTCTGTCCCAGGGAAGATAATGGAGCAGGTAATTAAGGAAATCATATGCAAACACTTGGAAGGTAATAAAGTGATAGGGAATAGCCAGCATGGGTTTGTGAAGAACAAGTCATGCCAAACTAATCTGATAGCTTTCTTTGCTAGGATAACAAGCCTTGTGGATAAGGGAGAAGCGATGGATGTCATATACCTAGACTTTAGTAAGGCATTTGATACGGTCTCGCATGATATTCTTATTGATAAACTAGGCAAATCTAACTTAGATAGGGCCACGATAAGGTGGGTGCATAATTGGCTGGATAACCGTAGTCCGAGAGTTGTTGTTAACAGTGCTAAATCCTGCTGGAAAGGGATAACAAGTGGAGTTCTGCAAGGGTCTGTTTTGGGACCTGTACTGTTCAATATCTTCATCAATGATGTAGATATTGGGATAGAGAGTATGCTTATTAAGTTTGCAGAGGATACCAAACTGGGTGGGCTTGCAACTTCTTTGGAGGATAGGGACATAATTCAAAATGACCTTAGCAAGTTAGAGAAATGGTCAGAGGTAAACAGGATGAAGTTTAATAAAGAGAAATGCAAAGTGCTCCACTTAGGAAGGAACAATCAGTTCCATACATACAAGATGGGAAGCGACTGTCTAGGAAGGAGCATGGCGGAAAGGGATCTAGGGGTCATAGTGGGCCACAAGTTGAATATGAGTCAACAGTGTGATGCTGCTGCAAAAAAAGCAAATATGATTCTAGGTTGTATCAACAGGTATGTTGTAAGCAAAACTCGTGAAGTCATTCTGCCGCTCTACTCTGCACTAGTTAGGCCTCAGCTGGAGTACTATGTCCAGTTCTGGGCGCCACATTTCAAGAAAGATGTGGAGAAATTGGAAAGGGTACAGAGAAGAGCGACAAGAATGATTAAAGGTCTAGAGAACACGACCTATAAAGCCAGGCTTCATGAACTGGGCTTGTTTAGTTTGGAAAAAAGAAGATTAAGGGGGGACATGATAGCGGTTTTCAAATATCTAAAAGGGTGTCCCAAGGAGGAAGGAGAAAATTTGTTCCTCTTGGTTTCTGAGGACAGGACAAGGAGTAATGGGCTTAAAGTGAAGCAAGGGAGGTTTAGATTGGACATTAGGAAAAAATTCCTAACTGTCAGGGTGGTCAAATATTGGAATAAATTGCCAAGGGAGGTGGTGGAATCTCCCTCTCTGGAGATATTTAAGAACAGGTTAGATGGACATCTGTCAGGGATGGTGTAGACAGAGCTTGGTCCTGCCTTGAGGGCGGGGGGCTGGACTCGATGACCTCTTGAGGTCCCTTCCAGTCCTATGATTCTATGATATAACTACAGTCTACAGAAGAGATGTGTGAGGGGGGGGGATTTGATAGCAGTATTCAGCTACATGAAGGGGGGGAGGGGTTCCAATGAGGATGGAGAGAGGCTGATCTCAATTATGACAGAACGAGGAACAATGGTCTCAAGTTACAGTGGGAGAGGTCTAGGTTGGTGTCATAGAATCATAGAATCATAGAATAATAGGACTGGAAGGGACCTCGAGAGGTCATCGAGTCCAGCCCCCCGCCCTCAAGGCAGGACCAAGCTCCGTCTACACCATCCCTGACAGATGTCTATCTAACCTGTTCTTAAATATCTCCAGAGAGGGAGACTCCACCACCTCCCTTGGCAATTTATTCCAATATTTGAGTTGGTTACTTTGTGCAAACAGGCCACCTTTCCATCGTCCTCTTCTATTCCTCTGTTGTAATGAATGCTGATAGTTTTAGTTTCTAAGAAATATCAGCTAGCTAAGTTCCCCACCAAGTTGTTGTTTTGCCCCTGGAGGAGGGCTGCTCGTGGATCATTTCCTAGGAAGGATCAGTGCACAGCTAACCCAGAAATGCACCATGATTCTGTTTAGTATAAATGCCTTTTGCTAAATCAATTACTGTGGTGCTTGTGCTTGCACTCTCTGGCTTTTTTTTTTAATGATGACATTTAAAAAATCTCAATTTAGTTTATCCCATGCCTGGCTGTCCTGTTTCCCCAACTACCAGGGGGACAACAATCTCTTGCATTCGTGGCTGGGAAAGCGGTGTCCACTTGTGAATTTCTATCTGTATTTATGGGATTCCCATTATAACTCTCCTGTCATGGCTCTGCCCACTTTCCAGATGAGTAAGTGAGGCACAGAGATCAAATTACCTGCCTATGGTTATGTGCAAAATCTGGAAGAGCCAGTAATTGAACCCAGATCTACAGCGTCACAGTCCAGCTCCAAGATCATTCTTCCTTCTGAGACTTGGAGCCTGATTTCCATACTCAATTAAATATGTTTGTTACGTTGACCTCCATGAGCTTTGGATCAAGGATACAGCAGTGAGAGAAAGGTGAATGAGCCCAGTGGCATCTACCCTTAGCATAAGGATGAATCCCCTTTCTTCTCAACAATAGGATCTAAAGCAGGGATGGGGAACCTTTTTTGGGCCGGGGGCTACTGACCCACACAAAAAAAATAAGTCGGGAGCCACACACAAGTGAGAATCAAAAAAACCCTAAAACAAGCCCTCACTGACGTGACCCCTGACTGAGAAGGAGACAGACTCTCCCCACATTCGCACTAGAGCGTAGAGAGGCCCAGGCTAGTAGATTTTGTGTGCTCCAGCTCTGCAGGAGGATGGCAGGGAGGCCGGAATGCCAGTGTGGGCTCCCCAATGCTGAGGGGGAACCCCGAACCTTAGGGACCAGATCTTGGCAAGCCAGGGGCTGCATCTGGCCCCCGGAACTTAGATTCCCCATCCCCAATCTAAAGTAAGAATATGACACAGACTGAACATTTAAGCAGAAAT